ACAAACACGCTCCTTCCCTCCCCGAACGGCAGAGTCGCTTCTGGCATCACACAGCTTTGGCGATTACACATCCCTTGCAAAAAAGTCCATTTGCTCCAAAAAAAGTTTATTTATATATCTCTATATATTTTAAGGAAAATATCCGTTTTTACCAAAATACGATATACAGGCACACAGCTGTAAAATAACTTTAAACCAATTCACTATAAAATTACTTTTGGTAATAAATAATTTGATTCTCAGAGAGGCAAAACGCTCCGTGTGCCTCCGCAGCTGGGCTGCCCGAGGCACGGTCCCTCTGCATTCCCAGAACGCTCCCACCTGCGCTCCCCTCCTCGCTGGGCCGGGCCCAGGGCAGAAGCCACTTGTGCTTTTCAGCCTGCATGAGGCAGAATCCTGCTCCCAACAAACCAGTTCAATGGCAGAACCATCACCAACACGTGCCAAAGCCATCTGTGAGGGGGCAGATCCTCCCAGCAGGGTTTGCTCTGGAAGGAGGGCTGGTGAGATCTGTTCTGCTCGGGGGCTCCTGCAGGCCAGCCAGCTGTGCTGGGGTCTGCTCCCAGCGGGAATCAAACCAGGAACAAAACATCTGTGCGTGCCTCTGGGCACAATACAGAGACAGTCCTTAACCCCAAAAAATGCCAGATCAGAAATCCTGAACTAACTCTCCTCAGTCTTGGCAATGATTTAGACAGGAAAACAAAAAGTGGCTGTCTCTCCTAAATCTGAAGCAGTTATGTGTATGCTCTGCTCTAGTGAGCAGATCCCTATTGATCTTCAAAGCACCTGAATACATTTGGTCACAGATCAGTATTGCTCTAAAGTCCAACGTTACAAATACGGGAGAGCCCCTTCAGCGGTATCATCTGCTCTGCAGAGCTCTGCCCCGGCTGCTCTGTCCAGTCTGACCTTACGAGGTGCACAGAGCAGTTTTCAGCTCTCTGTTTTAATTTTTTCCCTTGCTCATGTAAGTGTTCCTGCCTGCAGAGCTCCCTCAGCCCCAGGAGCAGCCCCCAACGCCACCAGGAGTGAGTGAGGATGTTGCTGCACCACTGACTGAGCTGCACTCACCGACAGTTACTGAGGAACTGAACACAGGTAAAGCTTTTACAAAAGAAACCTCAAGACAAAACACTTGTTCAGACAGATTCCAAGGTTTTTAGCTTTGGGAAGAGCAGACTTGCAGCACAGCATAGTTACAGGACACGGGAGGCAGTGAGGCAGGGGAGGTGCTTCCTAACTCAAGCCAGGGGTGGGCTATGGAACAGCACTTCCATCCCATCCTGAGGGGAGAAGCCTGACCAGAGACACTCAAATTGTAACTTCTGAAGATGATTAATTGAAGCCAGATTTCCTGTTGCCCTCATCTATTTCCTATGATCCTTTAAAGACATCTCTGCACATCCCCCTGGGGAACAGTCTTGAGGGGTTTAGTCAGTTATGACTTGACAGACATTATTTTGATGAACTACTCAAAGAAAGGTCCTGAAACTTCTCAAGAAAGCACTCCAGGGAGCAAGTCCTGTTTGTGCAGCTCACAGAAGGCAGTGCTCCATTTAGCTGGTGCACAAAGCAAAATGACACATCACACCCCAAGAGGAATGAAAAACCAAAGCATTAAAGACTCATAACCCTGCATTGCCCTGACACTGTTATTTTGAGAAGTCAAAGGGGAAAAAAAGGCAACAGCAGTAACTTTGGCAAGATGTTCCAAAGCCAATTTGAGCAGGAGCACAAACCTACTGTGGGAGCAGGATTCATCTGAGCACACCACATGCAGGGAGTAGGGAGCCAGGCAGGAGCAGTCCTGTAAGGACACAGCTGGTCCAGTTCACCTTGTCCTCTCAATGTTTTACATGCAGAATTCACCCCTTTAATTTGGCATTGCCTGGTGCTGGCAAGTCTTCTCCGCTAATATAAGCAATAAAGATACATGGAGAAAGGGAGAGCGAGACAAGAGGGAAGGCATCAGGCCCGAGAAGAAAAGGATTTGTTCTCTTCTCACTTAAAAATGGTTCAGTCTTTGCTTGGCTTCCACACTGAGGACTGCGAGATACAAAACCAGATTTTCTTCAGTACACACAAGCATACACCGAGAGGTACCTACGACCATAGCACAGAGCACACAGTAGCACAAGTTCAGAATGACTTAGTTCAAACAAGACAAGCTTTTACTTGGAGGGGAAAATATCAACATTTTCATATTGAATGCAGTTCTTTGGGTGGGAAAGAAGGGGCTGGCTCAAAATCCAAGAGCAGACACTCATCCTAGCTACAGCTAGAGCAGACAGAGGGTATGAGCCCTCTGCTTCCACAGTACAATTCCACACTCCTCCCAACACAACAGGAGTGAAATCTTTATCTTTGAACGTCCCAGCACTGGGCCTTCTAACAAAGATCAGCGGGTAAGAGGAGAATTAGGAACCTCAAAAACTAGTTTTTCACTAGAATAGTCATTGCTGATAAGTTCAGCTTCTGAACTAATTTTTAAGGCCTATATTCTCCTCCTACATTTCAGCTTCTTCTTTTAAAAAGTGCATTCTTCTCTGATGAGATCTACCTTGGCAAAAAGCAAACAGAACTTCCTCGAAGGGCTGCAAATGGTAGAAGCCCCTCAGGTCACAAGCAGGGACTCCCCACTTCAGCCTAAACAAAGGTGAGGACCACCAAGGCTTTCCCAGTCAGTTCACGAGCAATGTCCCAGAGCTTCACCAGCCCACACGAGTGGAATCATCATCATCATCACTCCTATGCTTGGAAACAGCATACTCTTTTCTTTTCCATAGAGATGGAACCAAAAAAGGAATAGCTTCATCAAAGCAAAAGCTAAAGCAAAGCAAAAGCATTTGGTTGGAAGGCAGTGAGCTGGGGAAAACTCAATTCCCTTTTTCCATGCAAGCTGAACACTGCTGGTAGAGGAACAGCAGGCAGGGCAACAGATAACCTGCCTCACTTGCTGCTGCATCAAAGGCTTCCTGCATCTTTAGCCTCCACATACAATCCCACGTTTTAGCAACTGGGGGCCTCCTACCAGGCAGGATCAGCTTCACAGTAATACATGGATCTTATCACTGTAACACATACAGGGATACCCATTCCCTTGGCTAACTGAGGGCTCCTGCACCTGGAATCAGTTATCAATTACTTCAAGGCCCAAGGGTAAGTCCCTGGAAACAGCAAATTACAGTGGCAGAAGAGCCATGACCTTTAGTACAACCACAAAAGATCTGCAGCACCTTGTGGCTTCCACCCAACATGGCGTATGTGTGTATATATAAATTTTGTATATAGACATCGTAGTGGTTCATTCTTTTTAATACATATACAAGTACCTGTACATAAATACATATTTACAATTTACACCAGGCAGTAGATGCATGTGTACTGTACATACACACACAAACGCCGAGCACACACATGCACACACCAACACACACTCGTCACAACAGACTCCACAGCCTGGCAAAGGAAGTCCTGCCAGAGTCCAAAGAGCAGCACCAAGGGGGGGTCTCAATGTACCAGCTTCACGACTGCTTAGGACAAACAAAGCATTCACAGGATTTTGTACACTTGGGAAATAAAGAATGGATGGTGCAAGCTTCAGCCCAGCTACAAAGAACCTTCATGCAAACTCCCCAGCTACACTGCAGCGTCCCTGCTGTTCCACACTGTGCTCCCTCAGCCGAATGGATCCACCAGGCTGCTCTGGCTGACCACACCACACCCTGGCTGATGCTCTGCACCCAGGACTGCCATGACCCTGCAACAGTCACCAAGTTCTGCTCTGTTTCCACCTAAGCACAGAGGCATGGCTGGGGTTAAACAAAAAGTACCAATTGGACTTGTCCTCTCACTTCTAGCAGCCCACGGAACAACAGTGACAATTGACTTTTCCATTTAATAGTTTAAAGTATCTCCATTCCCTCATCCTTGCTCCCCCTGCACTGCCAGGAGCTGCCAGAGCTCCTCCAGCTCTTCAGGGCAGGCAGAGCAGTCCCAAATGAGGCAGCCAGCCCTCTTCCAGCAGCCACAAGAGCCTTCTCCAGCCAGCCCCTTCCCAAAGGTCCTGCTGCAGACACCCATCCAGCCGAGCTCTCGGCTGGGGAGTGATGGTGCTGCCAAGTTCCAGCCCCTGGCTGTTCCAGAGGGCAGGGCTGAGCATGGGGGGCATGCAAAACATCCGGGGGGCTCTGGCAGCTCCCAGCTGGCCTCACGTGCAAGGGAACATCAGCACCTCTCTGGGGCTGTGACAGCAGGGTCACACACACGAGGGACAGGCCCAGCGCTGTGCAGGGCGTGCTCTCAGCTCTACCAGGGACTGCTCATGCTGTGGGAGCCACACACTCCATCCACACACCTGCTGGAAATTCCTAACAGTGCCTCAAACTGAAGAATGCCCCCTCCTGCTGTGGCAGGATGCCCCCCATGCCAGTGAGAGGTGGGGGCTGACCTGCAGGGTTTGTAGTTGGTTCACTATTGACCCCCTGCCCAGCCAGGTCCTTGGCCAGCAGTACACAGCTCAAACAGAAAACTGCTGCATCAAACTTATAGGGAGCATTAAGTATCTTTACAAATTCACTTCAAAACACTGCTCCAAATGCAGCTTAATTGCCCACTGTTTTGTTTCCTCGCTTGCCTAAGACTGAAAAAATATATTTGTTATGAAGGAATCTGTGTTATTGCTATTGTTGGTTTGCACTGTGTGGTTCCATCTTTACCATTTCAAATCCAGACTCTTTGGGGATAAAATATTGGGTTTTTTCTGTTGCTTTTTTTCTTTCCAATTTCTTAAAATTGTATAAAAATAAAGGATTTCCACAAATGTGGGCTAAAGGTAACCAATAATACTTCTATGCTTAGGATCAGCTGTTGGAAATGTGGTTGACAGCCACAAGACCAGAAATAAACCTCTTGTGATTCTTTAGTTTAACATTTAAAAGACATGAAAACTTCTGCTTATAAAATTGACCCCATACAGAATGGAACAGCTCAACTAACAGCTGTTTATTATTACTTTTTAAAATAATGGTCCTAAATTTAAAAATAAAATCAAGTACTTCCTTTTATGATTTTCACATTATAAAACTGCACCATTCAAAATCTGTGGCCAGGGAATCCCCTTTGCAATAAGACAGTTTCTTTTAATAGTCATCGAGTGTGTTTTCCAGGAAAACATTCCTAACATCCAGAATGGAAGCCAGCTCCAAAATGTGCTTTTGGAGGTGAGGGTTCTCCACCGTTTCATCTCGTGGCAGCTGAGGATAAGATTCAGGATAATTTCGAGTCTCCTGCTAGATGACAGTGAAAACAAAGAGAATCAGACACTCATTTCTTTCACACCCTCTAGGAAGAAGACTGCAAAAGGCCAATTTCACCCTAATCTATTCAGTATGGCAGAGAGACAAAAAACATTCTAGAATTTTCAGTTTTCTCTTTCCATTGATTCAGAGATGGTCACAGTGGCAATACAAATGCCTGTTCATCTCAGATAGTTATTGGTATGTTCTCTGAGGCTTTGCAGGAAAAAAAAACTAAACCACTAAAAGAGACAAAAAATATTCACCTGTACTTACCCACTAGGCTGGAGTTCATTTCTTGAAATTACAGACATGTAAGCATCTCCAGTGGGAGATTCATCTCATCCTAAAACAAATATCTAAGACACTGGGGGCAAATCTCTCCCCACTGACACAGACCTGCTTCTTTTCCCTGGTATCAGAGCAGCTCAGGTAGCTGACTTTGGCCTGGAGAGCTGCTGGACATCTGCAGTTCCACAACTGAATACTGCATCTTTCAATGCTCCAGTCCCATGTTTCCCTGCAGTACTTAAAATGGAGCAGGCAGTTTATATGCCAACACTCACATAAAATGGTGTAGATTCAGAGCAGACTTCTCTGCTGGCACAGCTTTAACCAACAGGGAGGCAAAAATACCATCTTCCTATTTAGTGTATTCATTTACACTTCAAAGACCTTTCAAAAGCCATTCACATGAACACATTCCAGAAATAATGACCCACTCCTCTCCACTTCCCCTTATATTCTTGCTGTATACCTATTTGGTTGTGTAGAAATAATAATCTCAAGTTATCAAGAGGAATTTTTCTAGCCTTCTAGACAAGGCTGTCCAGAGTGACATAATTGAACCGGAGTGTGCCTGCTGTGTTACGTGCAGGATGAGGCTCCTGCAAGCCAACAAAGGCACAGCCTCAGTGCAAGCTGCAGGAGCAGCATGTGAGCATCAGCCCCTTTCTGAGGTCACCTGGCCCTCCCACCTGAGCAGGGCAGCTCTGCAGCTCCCACAAAGGCACACACATCCCTGCGTACCCGGAAGATTTTGTGCATCCTCATCGTAGCCGAACAGAAGATAAATCTTGTGAGAAGCAAGCGAAGGAACTCATCCCCAAAAAACTGAAGGAAGGACTGATCTGTAGAGAAGGCAAAGAAAGCCCATTTAGAAAGGCTCAGAGCCCCCGAGAGGCTGGGCTGGGCCTGGCCAGGCCGTACCTATGGAGCGGGAGTGGGTCAGCAGCTGGGCAATGTCCCGGTTGATTTTCCGGAGGTAATCCTGACACTTCTCCCACAATCCTCGGCGCATGCTTGATAATCCAGAGACAAACAGGAATGCCATTAAGGGATTGTTCAGAAAGAGTGTGAAGAGGCTACCCCGCTGAGACTGATCTAAAAGGAAAAATAAATCAATAGACAAAGGGATACATTTGGCACATGAAACAGAAACGCTGTCCCTGCCACACAACGAAGCCGCTCACCCGCTAAATTCCGTCACAGAGGAGCTACTCCTGGGTGTTAGTTACACCTTCCCTGGTGCAGGCCTGATCCCTGGCTGGCAATAACGGCTTGCTGGAGACATGCATTAACACCAAGGCACCTAAACTGGCTCTGCTTCCTTTCTGGAAGCAATAATGCTGCCCAGAGCTGTAACAACCCCCGTCACCCACGCTGGGCTGGCCATGCCTCAGTGTCCCTGCAGGACAGCCTTTGCTCCAGCCCTTGCTGGAGCCAGAAATGTCACCAGCATGGGAACAAATCATTTATCACATACACTAGCTAAACTTTATCATACTGCTTCAGGGACTGGCAACCTGATTTAGGGGTTACACAGTAGTGGAAAGCTGCCTTTTCCTGAGGAATCCATATTCTGTTTGGGACAGATACAGGAACTGCAGCTTGTTGGGAAATGCAATACTGCACATACCTTGCAATGCTTTTGGATATGCTGTTGGAGAAAGCAAGCACACCAATGGCTGTCCAAATAAGTTTGTGAAATTCTGTAACAGATAAGAATTTTGAAGTATTGATGGTCACTTTGCTTGCCTTGAATATTCAGCAAGTCAAGGGTACAAATCATATTAATGACAGAAGACATTAATGCCCCTCACACAGCTCAGCATTGGCAATGAGCCTGACAAATTCACTTACTCAGAGATCACAGCGCAGAAGGAATATAACCAACTACATTTTAAATTAATTACAATTCTCTCATTTCATTGCTACTGATGGCAGACACTAATTTCATGGAAAAATGGCTTTCAGTAGTAACACATTACTTGAAAAAAAAAATTGTGTTCTGCAGTAAAAGTGAAAGCAATTTGATTTAATATTTTCCCTCAACACCAACTGAACTGCCCAGTCAAAACATTTCTTTGCCCTTTTCCTTCTAGCAGGAGGAGCTATGTCTGATGAAACAGGAGGGCCCAGAGAAAAGTTTTAAAGTTTCCTTTAAAGCAAGTATGTCACAACCTGGGAAAAAAACCCAAAAACCATGCAAACAACCTCATTAGCTGTCACCAGAAGAGCTTTCTTCAACTGAAGGCTTGCAAAGCTATAGAAAATGTGATTGTGCCTGCATCCTTTCGGAGCACAGACTCAAACCCTGCCTCCAGAGCATACGAGTGCCACACACATCTGCAGATCAGATTCTTAAAACTGCAGTTTATAAGTGTAAGACATACAACACCACAAGTATTTGCTTGTGAAGAATCCTCAAAAAGTTATTTTTGAGGATTCCTTTTGGCATCTGCATAATTCAAATGAACTTTCCCTTCCAGGCAGTATATTTCGGTTATATTAGTTTTACAGTTAATTTGATTTAATCTGCTAAATACTAGAGACAGAAATCTAGTCTAATCAAAATAAAACATTTCCCATCTCTGACATAGTGCTGAGTAGTGCTAGAAACCCTTCTAGCTGGATACTAAGGTTTGGTCTCTAAGGAGGAAACAAAGACAACTCCCTTGCAGACAGTAACAACAGGTCAGCCCAGAATTGGTGAGAGAAACATTTCAGCCTCCAGGAGCCACCCCAGACACAGCTGGTTTGAAGTGTACACACTGGCAAGGTTCTACCCTCTCCAGTAACTCGTGTTCTCAGTACCAGGAGCAGGCTGCCCAGTTTAATGAATTCCATGTGCGTCGCTCAGCTCCAGAGCAGAGCAGCCAGGCCAGCAGAGGGAACAGCCCTGCAGCCCCACAGAGCACCTGGGTCACCTGTGGGTGCCAGGCTCTGGCTCAGACACTCTGCACTCTGCCCCAGCAGGGGTTTAGCCAGGAGAACCTGCCCTGCAACCCAGATGTTGACAGGAGGCCTGGGTATGGAATGCCCTACCCCTCAGTGCATGGACAACTCCAAAAAGGATAAACCGCATTTTGTTGCAAATTTGACTGGATTTTTACTTCAGTGCTCAAGGTTTCCAACAGAAGTATTGCTGATTTTTACAATGCATGTCATGTGCATCTCCTTCCAAGAAAGAACTGCCCATCATTTCCAAAAGAAGTCACTTCACATTTAAGCTTTGCTAAGCTGAGTATTTATACCATATCACTGACAGAGGCCTTGCATTCCCACTGGCTGGAGGTTTTGGTTTGGTTTGGTTTTAAAACCTTGCATTTTACCATGATCCTAGACAACCACAGCTACAGGAAGATATTGATTTAAAAATATTATTTCATCCACATATGCAGTGGTAACCTTCAAGAACACACAGACAGCTATATTTAAATGGAAGTGTTAAAAAAAAATTCACGGCTTTCAGTAGATATGCTCGATTTGCAGTTATCTTCCACTTTCAGCTAAATATACAGGGGAGGAAGCTGTTCAAGTGCTGCTGATTTGACAAACTGGCAAGTCACTTCCTAGCAGGACTTACTTTCAGTCATCACCATTTAGGTCCTGCAGAGAGAGGGAGAGGACGGGGATGCGTGCAGGAGAGCAGGGACGGGCTGCAGAAAAGGATGTGTGAGCATTTGCTGTTCCTGCTGCTACTGCTGGCAGTGACATTTAAATGTCAGGATAGCTCCTGTCCTATCAGGGAGGATCAGAGCAGCCACGGGGAAAAAAGCCAGTACTGACTTCAGTTCCTCACACGGCTGCTCTTTGTTCGTGCAGCACTGGAGCCCCCAGACACCTCCCAGCCCACGGGGGACAGTCCCAGGACAGCTCTGCCAGGGCTCTCTGGGGACAAGGACCCCAGCACAACCACAGGCAGGAGTGTGCAGGGCTGGAACACTGACCTTGAGAGCTCTGCCATGAACCTTCACTGGAAAACAACACCAGACACCCAAACCAGTCCCCTGACACGCCTGCCTGTGCTCAGTGGCAAGAGATGGGGAAGGTGAATGTCACTTCTGAAATGCTGAACATATTTCTTTTTAGGTGCCTTGCACTTGTGCCCACACTGTTCTGATCTGGGTCAGTACTCCTAGCAGCCACTTCTATAATCCTGTCCTGAAATACTTCCCAAGCTCACATTTCTGTGCTCTTTCCACACAAGACAGAGCTGGATGCTCTCCACCAGCTGTGCTGAACAGACTGCTGGGTTTGACACCCCTGCCAGCTCACTGCAGAACAATGAAAAGAAACTCAGTGGAGGTTACAGAGTTGCCTACTGTGCACCCAAAAAACAAAGAAAACGGAATTATCAAATTTAAATGCAATACAAAAAGCAAATTCTACTGTAAGCCTTTGGGATTATTCTCACAGACCTACAAATCTACGTGTGGGAATCCATTGCCCCAAAGAGGTTCATTGCTCTAAGCTTTACACAGAACCCCAATCTGTCCAGAGCTGGAATCCTTTGCTCTCTTACAGAGCTGATCCATTTGACATCTTCTAACAATTCTATTAGAGAGAAAGGTGGTACAAAAACCAAAACCAAACCAAGAACCCAACACAAGCCATACCTTTTATCCCTGAAAGAAAACCAATCCTCCTGATGCTATACTGGAATGAATGCCAGGAAAGAGCATAGGAAAATAAATCCTTTCCAAATGCTCACTTTCTCAGGAAGACAAGTAAATCACTCTAACTGTGTTTCCCTCCATTTAAATGGGGAAGAGAATTCAAGAAAAAAGCAGATTTGTTCTGAAACCAGTGCAGCGAATTTAAATAAAGTGGTGTTTAAAAACCCCTCTGAGATACATTTACGCTACAACAAACCAAAGAGCCAACAGAGAGGTCAGATCATTATCTGGCTGTCAGACAGGAGTTCCCTGGCTCATTTCAGAACTACCCTGACTCACACTGACCACTGATTTAGTACCTCTCCTTGGCCAGCACATGCCTTCAAAGCAAGCAGCACAGCCTGTGGACACTGAGCAAGGCACACGCTCCTCTGGCCACTAGACGTCCCTGTTCCTCCTCCGAAATGCAGCTGTGGATGTTCCCTCCCTCCCTGCACATAATGGAGCTATAAAAAGGCACACAGAAGAAGTGGCACTTCCCCCAGATATAGCACATTCTTATTACCCCATTCATGAATGAAATACATGTGTAATACTCTCCAGATTCAACTGGCCACCATGAGTGCAATGCCTGCTTCTGCATTACCCGAACTGCAGATTCCCAGAGGTGATTTGGCATGGAGCAATTCTACTGTAAGTCCAGAACACCCTAGGAAGGAGGCTCAGTGTCCAAGCAAACACCACTCTACAGTAACACTGGATGCTAATTTGAGGCTTGTTACTTCCTTGGTTCAGACACTTTTCAGACACAGACACCCCGTGTTTTTTAAGATCAGGCTCAATGCTTTGACTCCTTTCTGTTGCTTAAAAGCAACTGAATGTTGGATGACTGGAAAAAAGAAAAGCACATTAGTTATCTCCCTCCCCCATGCACACACACCGAGATTTGTCTTTGGTATAAAACAAAAGTAAACCTCCCACCAGAGACCTTGGAAATCTTGAACCTTTTTTCCCTCCAGGAGGATTTATTATTTTCCAATGAGCGGCTGTTCATGTGCTTCTCCTTCTTGTTCCTATTCATAGGGTCAGATCCTGACTAGCATGCACAACCTCAAAAGAAAAGAAAGACTGAATACAAACTGTTTAAAAAATAGCCTGTTAAAAGTGTAAGCTAACTAGGGGTTGGCACTGTATCCTACCACAGGAGGAGCAGCCTCCAAGGGCCTTACCTTGTAGGCGACGCTGTTGGAAGAATCCACGATGATGAACAGGGGCTTTCTGGTGAAAGGGTACAGATCTCCAGGGTGAAGGCTGCAAAGGAAAGGGACCCCTCAGAGCACCACAACAGCTGCACAGCTGACACTGCACAAGGGTCTCAGCCACAGAGCTGCCCAGAGCCAGATAAAAAGCAGACAGATTTCCCATGCTGCAGTCCCCAGAGAGCAGCTGCACTATTGTCTATATTTGTCTATAATACGGGCTGTGGGACTTCTCTTTAGTTCAAGAGAGGGTTAACTTCTTCAGAAGTCATCCACCACTGATCTGAAGTTTGTCAGTAACTAAGAACTCATACCAGCTTACCTAAGTAAGGCTGAAGTGCTTAAATGATCAATTAAAGCTGCTCATTCACTTCTGAGTGTTCAAGCCAAGCCCTGCTATGATGTCCCGCACTGAGGAGCCCGAACCCCAGAGGTGCTGATGCATTTCCCCTGTTGCAGACAAGCTGCTGTGGCCTTGCAGGCTGCAGCACTCACCAGTGCATCTCCTTGTAGGCCTGGTTGCGCTTGTGCAGGGCGTCCCCGTTGATGATGTCGCGGTTGCTGTTGGTCAGCACTCCCCCGAAATCGTAGGGACCTGCCCGGGGAAAGGGAGCTCAAATCAGCAGGGGCAGCTCACCCTGCTGGACATCAGCTGGCTACAGGACAGGGAGGAAGCCACAACAAACCCCAGAAAACTAAGGGAATCTGAACTGCTGCAGCTGTAAGGAGGGGAGAGAGGAGTGTGGAGACTTCCCTAACTGCATATTCCTTTTCATGCTTTTTTAGAAATTTCAGCATCTATCAAAGAGAAGCAAGGAATGCAATTTCATAACTTGTAATTTAATTATTCACTATTAACCCATAAATTAATGCAAATTATCCCAATATTGGCTCTTGTTACACCATAGAGATAAAAGATTAAAACCCATTACATGGCTGATACAGGAAAAGCAATACCTTTGTAGAATTACTGCATGAGTTTCCAGATTCACAATTTGATCAAAAAATAAGGTTAAATTAATAAAAAAGACTAGAAATACTAATATCATTTGCAGTTCTAACACTGCAAAGGGAAGAAGAGAGAACTCAGAGAATGACAAAAGGACAAAACAGCTTTAACCAGATTTCAAATCTGTATCAAAGGTATTTCAAGATTTCAAAGTCGGAATTCACAATTTTCACATACACACGCCCTGGACATGTGTTCCCACTGTAAGCTGAATATTCTGTTAAATTTGCAAAACTGAGCTACCCCCTGAATGTCTGATGGAGAGCAAACACAAAAGCAATGGCTATAAAAATATCAAATCCCACAAGATACCAAGAAATATTTCTGCCATTGGTATGGGTATGAAATGTCACTAACTTTAGCAAAATAAAGTACAAGGGTTTCCTCATTCTGTCATACATTTGCAGACTTGGCTGACCCACATTTGGCCACCAAATGCAATTTTTTCAGGTTTGGATACAAGGCACCTTTCCATTTAAGGGAAGCTTTGGGGATACAAAATCAGGAACAGGACAAACATTAATTTAGCACTGTTACAAACACCTCACATGGTCTGCCAAACACACGGCCTGCAGGCAATGCACAGTGCAACCTGCAGCTGCTCTCCCCTTTAATAAGGCAGAACTGTGTGCAGGCCACACCACCTTATTAAAGGAATGCAGCTGTGATGGGTTCTGTGGTGAGGCTGCTCCGCAGCTGGCTGAGCCTCGATGCCTCTGCCACAAGCTCTTAAGCTGAAACAACACATGCAGAGAGGGGCACACACCACAGGCCTCAGAGGACACACTGCAGTTAGGACCTATCACCAAGCTGCAGCAAGAAATAAAATGTTAAAAGCATTTTTAAAAAATCACTGCCGCTGTCCAAAGCTGACAGGGATTTTCTTTTTTCTTTTAACATTTTGAGAGCTCTATAAATCATGCACAGGGGTGGACAAAGCATGCATCTTATAAAGGAATGCAAGTCTCAAACAGATGAGGTTTTTTATAATATTTAGGATGTTAAAAATTATTTTGACTTTTTTCTGGAATTAATAAACAGATCTTTGGACCGTGTTTACTTCAGCCAACCAGTTTTCAGCTTTTATATTGCAGCTGCATCCAAATATTCTGCTAGATTGAAAAGAACAGGAGGGTGAGGTGAGGGGAATTGTTAAAAATCATGAGAAGGGCTTGAATTGTCAGGTTAATGAGCGTGCAAATAGACCAGTCCCTGCAGCTGCTTGAGTCCTTCCACCACCCACGTCCTGGCCACACGTTCTCCTGTGCTGGGCATTGGAAAGATCAGAGTGCCATGGAGCCATTTTATGAACTTTGTGCTGATGCATCAACTGAGCCACGTGGTCTTCAAAATTGGGAGGCTTTTAATACTTCAGATGCATCAAAACCTGGATGTGTCCTTTGAAAAGTTCTCAGGCTAATGCACACTAATTAAAACACAAAGATTGTATTATTGTTTGTGGAAAATAAAGGCTATCTTACTAAGCAGACAGGAGAATCGAATTGACTTGTCTTTTTAAAGGAGCTTTGTGACATCTTTCTTGGTCACTTGTCCTGGAACATCAGGAGAATTCAAGCCCTGTTCATGACAGGGAGCATTCCTTTATTGTACCTTCACTATCCGAACGACCTGATGGGAACACGCCCGTGGCAGACAGGTAAATCAGCAGCACGCTGTTGGCAGGCAGCTCCTGCAATGCAAACAGGGGCCCAGGGCCAGGGGAGAAAGGTACAAGTTTATTTTAGTACTCAATCGTCACCTCCATAAACACACTGTCATTACAATTGTGCTACTCCTGCTCTGGCTCCCCCCTCTCTGCTCCTGGTGCACAGACTGGCCCTGCCCCAGCACAGACACCCCTTCCAACTGACCAAAAGTGTCACTGATGAAATGTCTCAACTTGTCTCCACACAAACCTCCAGGCTGGTACCAGAGCTCCAGCAGCACTGACAAAGCACCTGCTCCACACAGACTCCTTCACTATCTATGCAGATCTGAGGCTCTCCAAGATATGGAACCCAAAAGCTGCCAAGATCCACACAGAGCCCAACTCCCAAACAATGCACAAGGGAAGCTTTGTTCACAGTTTGAGTGGGGTACAGGACTGGAGATTCAGCAGCTGTACAGTGCTCGAGAGCAGCAATCTCCTGATACACCTCCCCCATTTTGGTTCGTGCTTGGCATGATATAAAATGAGAGAATACTCTTAAGATTTTTCTATTCTCCAGATCAGTGGAGATCCACATTTCATTCAGTGTCACAAACACTCCTGGATATTTTTGATTACAAATAAATTCAGTGATTTCACAAACCTTAAATGATGCTGCTAAAAATGTATATAGCTGGCTAAAAGTTGGTTTATAAAGTAGGTATTTATGGGGGTTTTCCCGCCTGGCTGGTTTCTCTGCTGACTCCTGTTAAAAGAAAGAAACAAAATCCTACTCAAAAAAACCCAACAACCAGATATTATCAAAGCAGTCTCATAACCCTCTAAATTTCTATTTATTAGAATGTTCCAACACACTAACCCATACAAATGGTCTGCCCATTCTGCATTTCCTACTACATAGTAAAGCAGGATGCAAACCACAGTATTCAAACCATAACTTTGTATTATCCCTCAGTGAAATTTGTAAACTAAATCTTTCTTACTGTCCCAAGTATCACCCAAGAAATGAGTGACAAAATTCACACTTCACCTCAATTAAATAAATGAAAAATCTCCATATTTTCTTTTGGCCCCAGATAGAAGACTTGTTACTTTCTCTGAAGGGGACATTAACTTTCAGAGGACTCAGTAATCTGATGAATCCATGGGTTTGAGCTACTCTTCACTAATTTCTAGTGGAAGTTACACCACCTTTACTAACCTGCTCTGCACAGTGGCAATACTGAAGGAGTAGACTACTTAAAAGCAATCAACCAACAAAACACCCAGTTAAGATGTGCTGCCAGGTTTGTTTGAAGTGGAACTGACCTGCATTCCGGGTTTGTTCATTTGAGATGCCAAGTTCATGGGTTCCCTCTCCAGAGCCTGCAGCATCCGGAACATGTCGATTGTCAGTTCACTGAACTTGACCTGCAGGAGAGGCACACAGTTTATTCTGCCAGATACACATTAAACAGAATTGCTCTGGAATTATGCAGCTGAGAGACTGCACTGCACACCAGAGAGGCCATTCTCTCTCAGGGATCTGTCAGTGTCATCTTTGAATCTCTGAAGAGCTGTGAATGACTTCTACAAGAGCTCACAGAAGACAAAGTCTATTTGTTACTGATCTACCACTGCACTGCAGACCCCTGCTTCCAAATTACAGGCTTCCCTGGGATGTGGACTAATCAAGTGCTGAAATAGCTATGTACTATAAATTCAGACAAAATCTGACAAAGACAGATGAAGCTGTAGTTTAAAAATAACTCCCTTGCTTACCTGAAAAGAGCTCAGAGAGAAGCCAAGAAATTTGTACAACTTCACTATCATTATCATCTAAAAACAGAACCTAGAATGTCTTTTGAAAACCTCTTCCTGTTGCCACTGAAGTTGCAACAAGCTGGAGTGAGTCATATGAAAGCTCAAGTCAAGCTTTTTGTAGAGGTATCTTAGAGGTCTCCCATGCTCAAATGTTGTTACAAATAATCCAGTATATGAAAATCAACTGTGTCTACATAACTGACAAGTTGAATATAAAGAGGTCAGTACCACAGATCTAATATCTAACATTTCATTTTTAGGTCTTATTTCTGTGAACCCTCTTCCTCTTGCTACCACTGCAACCATCACAATAAAATATTTCAGTGTTCTCCTCTGTTGGAATCTCTGTTGTATGATCAGAAGGGATGTCACAGGGGGGACTCCAAGGATGCAAAGCCAGGTGCCCAGAATTTCCTTTACCTGGTTGTTGCAGTTCCCAATAATGAGCGCATCTGCAAGAGCAAGCTGTCCCACTATCATCCCCTGCTCCAGCAACGGAGCTCCCGTCTCAGAAAGCCTGTTAGAGGTGATTACAATGGTGTTGTCATCATTTAAAACCATGACAGGGTCTGCCTAAAAAAAGCAACCAGAATAAATCAAGAATTCAGGAAAGCATACAGATTTGCAGTCAGAGAGAAGTCCGCAGGTCTCGGCACTTACAATAAACATCTCACAAATGAGGCAGATTTTTTAAATTACTTTGCCACACATGTATTTGTATATTTGTATGCAGGCTAGAGAGTAAAGCCTTCCCAGCTGGAAAAGCAAGGTTCTTAGGGACTGCAAGAAATACATGAAGCACATGACAAGCACATGAAGGTACAGCAGTGAGAAAAGCGTGCTGCCTTCAATGACATGGACTCTGCTTCAGCTTTGCTGTATCTGAGGAGTCAGATGTCATCAACAGCCTTACAAATTCATGCAGAATAAACTACATATTCCTACAGTCATAATAATTTTAGTTTGCCTATTTTAGCTTGCTTTTCCTTCGTAGAAAAGAATAGCTAAGGAGGAGAGTGAATGATAATGGTGCCACCCATTCTGGCAATATTTAAATATTCCTGTGAACACGTGTCAGTGATTCATGGGACAGGCATACTGCCCCTGCACCGGCACACCTGCTTCCCTCACAAATGTGGTGATACACAACACTTCCATCAACAAGACAGAAACTCTGAAACAACTAGAGGGGATGGTATTCTCACCTCAATAAATGCTGCCACTTCCTGAAGAACCAGGTTCCACTCCACCTGATCCTCAGTATTGAAACGATGCGTGTAGTCTTCAATTTCATCTGACAGCTCCTGAAGTAAACAGTTCAGAGACAGACACAGTCACTCCTAAAACCAGACTTTACCAGGCAGTCAGTAACCTTACATTTGGTTAGCTGTGCTGGCCTTTAAGAATAATAAATAAATAAATTCCTTGAGAACATATGCAGCACACCCCTGACTAACATGCCAGCCAAAACGCACTCGTTCAGCAGACAGAGTGCCAATGCTACACTGAGTTCTGGCAATGCAAATTGTCTTTTACGTAGGTCCAAATGCAAAGAATATCTGGAGTTAAGTATAATTATCCCACTCACAGCTATGTCACCGGTTATTACCATAAGCTATGGATACCAGGGACTCAGATTTCAGCCTGCAAGTAACTTTAAATACCTTGAGGAAGGGGATGGTGTGGCTGGTTTAGCTGTGCTAAGCAAAGCCTGCAGTTCAGGGGAGCTGTGACACACACAGCACTGCAACCTACACAAAGCTGTCAGGCCCAGGAACTGCTTGAAGCAAGGTTGTCAGAGGGCTGGGAAGCATATGCTGTGGGGAGCAGCCTGCTGTTCCTCTGCTGCACTTCCAGGGCACTTCCCTGTCTGGGCTGCAGCTTCTGGAACATTTTTACTTGCTGTTCATTCAAACAATGCAACCAAATCATTTGATCCTGAAGTGTCATTATTAAATGTCTGAATGACAGAAGGTATTCCCTGTGTTGGATGTCAGACAGACTAGAGAAGCAAGGATCAGCAGCCTCCCACCCCTCAGCACCTTTGTCCTGATTCCAGCATACCTTCACAAGGTCCTTTACAACATCCATCTTGTTGAGCAGGAGACAAACCACTATGAACCTTGCATAGTAACGTAGCTTCTTAACCACTAGTTCAGGCCTAGACACAACAACAAAAACATCACAGCCAAAACTGAGATTAAAATAGAACAGAGGCAGGTAGCAGGAGTAAGGGAGAGGAGGAGTTTAAGACCACAGCAGGGCTGAAGAGTTGCAGATTAAGAGTTCTGACTGAACTCATGTGGTGATGAATAGCCACCTGGCTGCTTGGAGGTTTAGTTAAAATTGAGTACAGGGACATAAAAAATAATTTAAGAAAGCAACAGCCTCCCTACTTGACAGGAGCATGGGAGTCAGATATCATGGCAGGCTGTTCAAACCTTGCTGTACTGCAGTGTGAGCTGCTGCTCCCCTGAAAGGCCTGATGAGAATCACACAGATTCCTGTGCTCCAGCCCAGCTGACCCATCTTCCACCCACAGCATTCTAGCTCCCAGCACTGGTACCGCTCAGGATTTAAAATTACAAAATTTTGGGGCTAATAGCTTTCTATCTAGAACCAGGTAACAAAGTATTCTTCCAGTCATACAGCAAAGCTCTTATTTATCCTGAATTTTTCAATAGTGGCAGAAGGATTAAAAAAAACTTCCTTCAACAACATGGATTTTATCCTAGTTATGCTCCTACAGTTTATAGCTCCTTGCTGCGTCCACATACCTCTCTAGTCTTGAAAAAACAAGGGCTTCCATCCAGACATACCTGTCTTCTTTGTTGACTTGGGAGTAGTAGGACCTCTGCCTGATGGCAGAGTAGAAGGAGAACGCCTCGTTGAGATAGCTGGTCTCAGAGGTGCGCAGGCTGCGGGGAACAGGGTGTCAGCTCACTGCCTCACAGCAAAGAAACCACAGCAAACCTCCCTCCCTGCCCCTCAGCCAGCCTGTGCCTCCCTGCACAGCTCCCTCCTCAAGTGCCAGCCCAGGAGAGCCAGACTCTCACTGTGGGATGTGTCAGAGCTTGGATCCCATTTCAGAATCAATCATTCAGAGCTGCCCATCCTGCACCACACGTACGGGTGATGGGGTCACTGAATGGTGTTAAGTTCCCCAACTTGTAAATCACATTTTCCCACAACATTCCAATGCAGCACATGTGGAAGACCCTTTGGAGGCAGGAGAGAAGTCCTTGGGCAGTAGCAGTGGCACCAGGCTCACAGGGGCCCTTCCCTGCAGCACCCCATGCAGTCCCCAGGGCCCTCATTCACAAACTGGCATCATGACCAGCCCAGTCACTGATTCCTCCTGACTGGGCATCCAGGCATTTGGCATGCAGCTGCCACTAACCCTGCATTGCCCACTGAATCCTCTTCTGTGCTTACTTACTAATAATGGTAATAGAGCTGCCCAATCTTGGAAGCAATTTCCCCAATTTGCCACCTCTTCAACCCATACCGATTGTCCAATACTTGTCTATGTCGCAAGAGAGAAAAGAAAGATTAAAAGGATTCCCAAATTTCCCAGAACATCCCACCAGACAAGACAAAGAGCCATTGCAGGGCCAAATTCAGCTTTCATTACTGGCGCAGCATTGCCAGCAGCAGCCCCACAGAGCCAGCAGCACACACACCCCACAAGAAGGGCCGTTTATCTTGCATAAACTTGCCAGAGCCAGACGTAAGTGTGTTGCACAAAATACACACAACAAAAGGTCACCACTTCCCAGGAGAACATTCAGACTATGCAGCCAGAGGAAGGTGTGAAGGATCAGAGCCCACGCTGCAGCAAGAGACTTCACACCATTCCAGATCCTGCTCTGCAGAATCCATCACCTCCTCAGTAAGAAATTAAAGCACCACACACTCAGGTAGAGCAAAAGGGTTTGTTAAAAAGTCCCACTGAACACTCTGCAACATTTTAATTCAATAGACTGTGAGCACTGCGGGAAGCTGCTGTTCCCTCCCTTCATGCTTGAACAACACAGTGAAATCTCAATCTTAGCTGGGGCTCTGGGCATTCCAGAGATTAAAGCTGCACTTAAACCCACACAACACATCTGCCTACAACATTTCCTTACCGGTGCTGCTGTTGGAACTTCCAGAGTTTGGTGTAAACATCAAATGTTCGCCCAAAATAGGATTGCCACTGCTTCTGCCCATACTGAGGTAAATCCCTGCAAGAGACAGTGACAAAAGCAGAATTAGGAAGCAGAATCCAGTCAGCCCAACACAACAGGAGCACGTTTGTGTCAAAGTCAGAACTGATTTGTCCAGGATTCATTCACATACTTTAGAATCCTGCCTGCACCCAGAACTACAAGAACTATGATTGACAGTTTCTCAAAACCTGTTGTTACTGGATCTCTCCAAATAGGAAATGATCATGTTCCTACATGCAACAGGTGTTTGAAAATATCTTACAATTTTGCTAAAAGAGAAGTAATTATATGGTTATGTGCACAGAAAGACAAATTTGACTCCTAAAATATCATAATACAAAAAAAACCTACCCAAGAACAAGCAGATGGAAATTAGTTAATAGAGACTGGTAATATTTATTGTTACTGATGAAGGAAGGAATCTTTTTCAAACAGATACAGCCATGTTTCAGAAACAGAGCCTGTGACATCACAGCCAAAACCAGTGCCCCACTATCAGCAGGTCAGGCCAGCAGATGGATGCTCACAGTCAGCACCCACTGGGTTCTGTTACACCATCACCACATTTGTCACCCTCTCACTCACAGCTAGTGACACGACACAACCTGAGAACTTCTGCTTTGTTCCTGTCAGTTCCAGTGCTCCAAGGTGAGACAGCCAACCCAGTTCAGCTCTGCTCTCCTGCCTCCCCTCCATTTCCAGGCTGTGCTACATTTCCACCCCACAACTATGATGTATTCCTAAGGATTTTGGCTTTAAAGGTTCCTGCCCTCAACCCTCACTTCTCCTGCCTCCCAGGAGTGACCTGAATCTTGAAATAAATGCAACAGAGGGGACCAAACTCCCGAATCCCACTGAGCACACATTCCCCACACACCTACACCAAAGCTCATTCAAAGGAGGTGCACAACTCTGCAAGTGGAAGTAGAACGGCTTTTCCAAGACAGAATCCTCTTTTATTTGATTCAAGATTGATTTCCACAAGGAATGCTCTCTCAAATCCCTGTGCAGGCTCATGTGCCACCTTCAGCAGACAGAAAAGCAGCACACGCCACATCCAAGCCTGGAGGGCAGAGACCAAGGGAAGCAGCACCTCTAGGAAACCTTGCCATGTCCTCTGAGGGAGCCAGAGAAGCAGAGCAGTACACACCACTTCAGAGCAGTGTTCTGGCCTGTTTCTGCTCACTGTAATTGCTTTAACAGCACCCGAGGTAGGAAAGGAAATTAATATTCTTCTGCTCGTCAGCCAACTGTACTTCCCACACAGCTTGAAGGGACCTAGCTCAGCTACTACAAGTAAAATGAATCCTTACCAGCCTGGAAAAGCATTCCAGTACTTGATGCTGATATTCCATGAAGATGCCAAGGAATCTGGGCAGGATTTTACCAAATTAAAAAACAAAAAAGATCCCTTCAAACTTGCAATGGGCTGCTCAAAATCTTGCAATGTATGTTGTGTAGCAAGGGGTAAACAGGAATATAAATATGTGCTTCAGGGTACCAACATCTTCATTCAAATACAGCTTGATACAAACACATGCAAATTTAAAGCATTTTCTGCAAGGAACAATTCTCTCCTTGTAATAGATGTAAACATTTTAACTAAACAAAAGAAGCTAAGGCACTGTCCAAACACACACCCAAGATACAGCACAGACTCTGACACAGCAAGAGGTAGCTTTAATTTAATTTAATTAGCACATCCACAAGATTCAATGCTAAAGTATATATTAAAAAAATATTCAATTAAAAACCAACACTGAAATGGATAATTAAAAAAAAAAACATACAAATCAAAGTTCCCTGGCACTAACCTAGAGAATGCCTCAATTAACAAGCTGACTTGAAGAACCCCAACCCAAGAAAGCACCCTTCTCTCAAACACTGGTACCTGCACAAACTAAGCATTAAGCAGACAGGGTTCCGGTGCAGGTATGGGCTGATGATGCTCATGCACCTACCCCTCATCAGTGAGCTAATTAACACACTCACCTTCACCTCCCCCTTCCACACCTTGCTCTGCACATCCTAAACATTCTAATAGACCCCAAAGCTCGATTTGTGCGCCACACTCGATGTGAGTGTGTGGCAGTGAGGGTGCCTGCAGAAGCCCCTGCCAGGGCAGTGCCCCTGTGCCTGGCACTGCTGCCTGCAGCCCCTGCTGCCTGTCCACACGGATATTCCTCCTGCAGCCTGCCTGCCTAATTGCAGCTGGCATAGCTGCACAACACCACGGATTCCTCGGCTCCCCGGGGAACGGGAAGGATCTCCATGGAAACAGACAGTAGCACTTGTTCTTTTGATAGTATTCTGACACGGCTGTAATAAAACTTCATTTATGACAATACATTACTGTGCTTTCACTACTGCTTTTTGCAGACAAGAGCTGCCCTTCCTGCCACCCCTCTACTGCTCTGTGCTGAACATCACACATGCTGCTCCTGTGCACCAAGAAATTCTGCCATGAGAAGACAGATGCATAAGCAGAAGAGGACATTTAGTGCAGTTTTCTAACAGAACATGGGGATGTGCATTATTTGGTGAGAATTAGCCCAAAAGAATCCCAAAGCCTTGGCTGATTGCAGAGTGGGCTTTTAGCACAGCTCCTCCCACCAAAGGAGACAGGGAATACATGGCCCAGAAGCAATTATACACCCAAGGTGAGAGCTCAAGAGCTATGTTATAGCAAGACTTATTGCTGCCTCCAGATCCACAGGAGGACACCAGGGCAGTGAGGAGACACAAAGGCAGCAGGTTGTCCTGTGGGGTGTGCCCAGCCCAGGCTGCTGGCTCAGCACTGCTCTGGCTGAACACCACTACAGGAGGGAAAAAGGGGCAACCAAAAGAATCCAAATGCAGGGGAGGGACTGGAGATTTGATTTAGGACAGTACAATAGCCTGCAACAACTAGTGGAAACCATTTCCAGTTCCTTGGCTTTTAGAACATTCCAAATGGGATCTGAAGACACAAACTCTGATGGTCTAGAATGATGGGTTTCTCACACTGGGCACACAAGACTGGTTCTCTTGCTGCACTAGTGTGGCTGGTGGACAAATTTCACAGACAGAATTTTATCCAATTTTTCCTGTACTCTTTGTCTCTGCAAAGGCCAGCACTACTTATGTGCTCATAATTAATTCTCTGTCAGGAGTTCATTTCAGCCATGCTGCCAGATAATACTGGCTGAAGCCCAATTAAAGGTGCTGAGGTGTGCTTGGCCAGCACCACATGGAAGTTGTCACACAGGGACATTAAAGATGCTGAGAAAGTCCCAGAGACTCAGCAGCATGCTTCAAAGAGGAAGGCTACAATAACTGTAAGTTTAACATTCAAAGCTTTAAAGACATTCACAGTTTTGACAGGTGATAAAAAGAGACAATTTCCTTTTATGTTCATGGGCTTGTAGTAGTTAGAGGCTCCTGTTCCCAGAACCTGAGCAGCAGTGGGATAGAAATGCTGTGGCACAGAGCCAGAAGATATCTCCTGAGCCTCCTTTTCTCCAGGCTGAGCCCCCCAGCTCCCTCTGCTGCTCCTGGTGTTCCAGACCGTGTCCCAGCTGTGTTCCCATCCCTGGACACGCTCCAACCCCTCAGTGCCTCTCTTGCCATGAGGGGCCTCACCAGTGCCCAGTACAAAGGGACAATCACTTCCCTAAAAACCAGTTCAATACAGTTGCTCAAAGTCTTTTAATTCCTTGAAGTTCCAGGCTTCTTTGTGATACTGAACACATTTAAGCACTTTTTAACATTTAAAAGAAAATAATACCAGTGACAATACACCATGACAAACTGCTTCCTTACAGCCTCCCTCTTCCCAGCCTTTTCCAAGAAAAAAGCAAGTGGGAGTGGGGAAAGGGGAGAAGAGAGCCATTGCAGCACACTTCATCAACAGTTTATTCTAGCCTATAGCCCAGGGTAGAGCCCAGGATGACAGCCCCCAGGGTCACCCTGGCAGCATGGCCACAGGAGATGCTATCACTGGAGCACTTTCCAGCAGCCACCTTGGCAGAGCATCATATGTTTTCCTCAAATGCTGTATTTGGCATCTGTATGGGGAAGAGAGGAAGGAAATGCTACTGAAACAAAGACGTGGCAGGCTGAGCCCTTGCAATTTTTGGCAGCAGCAACAGCTAAGCAGCTGCCAACACAGCTATAGGCTCAGCTCCCCGGAGCTGAAGTGCCCAGAGGAGGTTTTGGGGAGGAAATCATTGCTCTCCTCCCTCCCCCATCTCTTCTTTTCTACAAAATGTGGTAGGGGCAAGAGAATAGCAAAAAACACAGCAGCAAAGGCTGTCATCATCTTCAAAACAGAAGGTGTCAGGCATGAATCAAACACATTTATTATGAAGCAACTGGACTAAGAATTGGGATGCTTGCCAAGACATTTCCAGGTGAACTCCCCAGAGAACAAGCACTAACACAGCAGATACCTGAGAATTATAATGTTGCTTTATCCTGTCATTATGCCCACGGGAATCACAAGTCTCAGAGGTGAAATGGTGGTCAAGTGTAAGAAGTAACAGTGCCAGGTTACAGTAAGGACAGAGCTTCCTGTCCTGCAGGATTCCTATTTTCACACAGCAGCACTGGCTGCGTAATCCCATCTCTATTTTTATTTACCATACTTCATCCAAAGGTATTCTCCATTTTCTTTTCATTTAGCTGGACAAGAAGGTTTCTTTCTGGAAAAGTACCATGGATACACTGAGAAACTCCATCTCTCATCTCGAAATCTGACACAAGCCCTACCTCCCTCCATGGCACAGGAGGCACAGAATGGCTGGAGGTTCTCTGCCACCCTCTGATCTGAACTGGAGCAGCACACAGCCACACATCAACTGTGCTCATTTCAGGCCAAAATTTCAAACAATTTATATCAGAAAGCCAATGTAATGTCATATACAGCCCTGGAAATCCTGGTCTCAAAATCTCAGCCCTTTTGCTTTAGACTGCCTTTCATGGGGGGGTCAAACACAATCACCAAAAACTCCTTGTCTCTATTGCCCATTTGCCATTCAGATTTTGGAGCACAAAATGTTTGTTTTGGATTTGGTAATCAACTTCTTAAGCACATGAAGGGATTATCAATAGCGGGGGGTGGAGGAATTAAAAGCATCTTTGCTAACCATCTGTGTTTGACTAACAGCAAGCTATAAGGGCCCAAACATACAGCATTACTCAGAGACCAGTAAGAGGCTGAACTGCCAACCAGATATGAGCTCAAACCCCTGTTACTTAAGAGACTCTACAGCAAAGCTTAGAAATAAAGCAGCTTTGGATACATGCTGTTTAACTCAGCATATATTGACAAAAACAGGATATCCATATTACTGTCCAAACGTGTATTCCCCTGCAGACAAAGCAGTTGGACTTTCCAGCTGTTGTTGCAGCTGCTTAGTAGATAAATGCAGATTTTACCTTTCTCCACAGTTCAGAGGAAGCACTTGTTTCAGCAGACACATACAGGCTATGGTTTTGATGTTTCTGCTTATTACTAAATTTCTTCCCCAAAGATATTCCCTTTCCTACTTTCCTCCCATCCAGAAAAATCCTCCTCATTTCTTTCTTTTTCCACAGAGACAGTAGTGGTTTGCATTTGCATATTGTGGTCTGCACACAGTCACATCTAATCCTTAATTGTGGCCCTCAGACACACAATTTCAGCAATAATCACATCAATTTAATGGGATTTCCAAATCCTAGTTTACTATAAACTGGAACCTCTGCTCCTCCAAACATTCTTACATACATGGTCCAAAAGCACCCATAGAGGGGTGCATTACTCTCTCCTAAACATACTGGTTTGGGGTTTGAAATGTTCACTGTACTGACTCCAGCATCACATACTGCAGTGTGTGTTCTGAGGCTTTTCTGAAGGAATACTGTCAGAAATCCACTAACCTTAAGCCATTGAAGAGCTGCTTAGATTTATCCAATAAGTAGCAAAAGTCTGTCACCGTTTTTCTCTCTGCTTGAGGAATATCATCTTCAGCTCCCCCTGATGACATGGTTTCTTTTAGGGCAAGCTCAGTCCTATGAAGATAAAAACAGCCATAATTACTCAAAAATCAACGGCTGCTACGAACTCATCCAGACTGAGATGCATGTTCAGTTCCATGGGGATGTAACACAGAGCATGCAGTTCTTCACAGGTTACTCTTCTCAAGACTCATTAAAAAAAACAGCTGAGAATCCAGGCATGGGACTAATTATTGAACAATGCACTAGTTAACAGAGCAAAATTAAAAGTAACAGTGGTACAAGAGTCACAAAATAAAATAACTCTGAAGACTGTCTTCACAAACACAAAACTGACAATGAAGGACTGTAGCACAAACAGCACTTGGGTTTCACACTTGGACAAAGAAATCCTCTCCAAATTTGCCTTCTGCAGAGGTATTTATCCTGCAGCTGTATTTAGAGACTAGCCTCAGCTCTCTTTTCATTTCATTTTCTTCTGTTGCTTTGAAAACTGTAGCTCAATGTTTCCTATTGCTGAAAAAAGGCAAATTTAGCCAGAATGCTGAAAAGTACCCTACCATCCTTCCTCTCTGCAGGCTCATGACTGTTTAATTCCATGGCCTGCATTACCCACAAAGATACCTGCAGATCTGTTTTTATTCTTCACCTGAGTAAAATGTTATATTGTACAATAAACACCTGAACAAAAAACTAAGATATAATGTAGGTAATTGTAGCATTGAGTGAGTAAGGGAATATGAAAGCTTACAGAGGCAGAGTGGGTTTTAAAAATCTTACTCCAAACATCCACAGATATCAAATTACCCTTTTGAGCATACACAGATGAGCTACAGATTTTGCAGCAGAAACAACAACAAAACATCTCTGGAAATGGCTGCTAGGTCTTCAGCTCTGCCCTGCTCAGGATTTTTGTGCAGGATAAACACACCTCTAACTGGGCACATGCAGGGCTTTTACTTCCAGCAGCTTCCCTGCCAGTTCTGGTGTGTTTCTGGTAAGCAACAGGTTTCCATTTGTGCAGCACTTCTGTTTGGATGCTATCTGCACAAATAATTACCTACATGTCCCAGTCCAAGCCAGGAAATGGCAAAGCTCACTCTTTCCAGCCATCAGGAAGCACCCAGAAGCATCTTTCAGCAACTGGCACAAAAAAATCCTTCACAATAACTGAAGAGGCTTCAGAAATGCTTCCCTGAACAAACACCTCATTCCTAACAAGCACAGCAGGAACTGGCAGTTTCCACCCAGCTTTTGGGGTAAGTTAGAGGGCCACCCTGCCAACCCAGCAGCCTCATGATTCCCCAGTTTAGACAAGAGGCAGCCCACACGGACTTGTTTTTACACACCCACGGGACAGCCCACCAGAGCAAAGTCGTGGGGGCATTGCACAAACCACTTGCTGAAGAGCTCCAGAAAAAGGTTAAAAGTGTCTCTGTATTGTCAGGTAACTGCACTATGGGTGCCAGAGTCTAAAACATAGCACCCAGATGCCACAAGCTTTGGCGTGAGCCTGGCAAGAAGGACATCAATACTGTGAGCCCCAGCCTGGGCCTGAAACCTCTGAGCATTCACATTTACACAGCACAGAACAAACAACACCAAGCACCAGAGCACCAACACATGAGATTGGAGTGAACAGCGAGACCTGAAAAACAAATGTCAGAAGCAGCCAGGAGGCGATTCAGGAATTTCAGCAAGAGGGACAATACCCCAGGTCCTGTGTGCTCCACAGCAAGGGTGACCTAAATCCTGCAGCGAGCCCGTAGGTTCTGCGCTCCACCGTGGCACTCCAGGCACTCCAGAGCAGCTTCAGACACTTTTGCAAAAATTGAGGAGCTTGCTTCAGTTGCAAAGTATGTTTCAGACAATCTAGATATCAGTCTTTTCATTTCATGGCAGTGAATTTTATTTTACATCACCCTAAAGTTATACTACCCAACAACCCCAACCACTGCCAACATAACCTGTGCCAGCCCTGGCACAGGCAAATAAAACCAGCTAGGCTTTGGGTTGTTTTTTAAAACCAAGTGCTTCTCACATGCAAGGAGTTCACCAGACCCACTGTGAAGAGGCCATTTATGCAATCAATAAAAGATACACAAGAAAATCCATAGCCTGCCAATGTGAAAGCTATCAGAACGCCGGAAAAATATGTGAAGCTGTCTTTTCCAGCTGACAGAGAAGGAAAATAAAATTAGTTATTTCATGCACTGGTTTTGGCTTATCGTGCTCTGGAGAGGGTGGTATTTGGTGCTGTACAAAGGAAGAGCTACTATCAGGAGCAGCTCGGGAGAGGAGGAGGTGCTCCTGCACTAAGGACTGTGCTGTAATGCAGCAGCAGTACAGACAGGAGGGAGAATTATTATTAGAACAGCAAGTGGGCACAGCAAAGGGAGGAATACAGTTCCTGACATGGCCCTTTCCTGAGGGACTGCTCAGCTCCAAATGAACAATGTAAATAAAAAGCAACCAGGAGCACATCCACAACGGGGACCTCTCCTTCCCTTTGACACTAGAAGTTATCACATGGATCATCTGCAGACAGACAGCTCTCCCAGTTTTGACAGCCCAACTATACCAGGAATATCACCTACTTCATTTCTTGTTCTCTGCTTGATGCTTTTTGCTTTCTTGCGTGCAAAAGAAACTGTTGGGATGTTTTGAATGACAATTTTTTCTTAAGTAACACATTAAAAAATGCTCTCCAGAGTCTGCAGAAGGAGACATTGAAACATTGGTTTAAAAGACTCTTAGAATAAGTCAGAAAATGGTGGCTTCCAGCAGAAGTTATTATTCTCTCAAAGATTTTGCCAACTCCTCAGGCCATACAAGGCAGGAAAGCCGTGCTCGCCAAGCCCCACACTTGGTGTGCCAGGTTCTTCCCTACAAGCTCTCAGAACACACCATTCCGGGTTTGCCTAATGCAACACATTACTGGATTTGACAAATTCATCCCACTGCAGCAGCCAGGGTAGCAGAGCTTCACAGCCACCCCAGAGGATGGCAGCTGGAGCTGAAGGGCAGCAGAGGAGGGACATGGGACAGGGACAGGGGTTTCACGGTGCTGGGCAGCATTCTCAAAGTCAGATGTCACTTACATCACACACGTCTCCACTTCCCTGTGGTTTGCTGTCTTTTGGCTAAGGTTTTCCAGGCTAGCTGGAAGGGAAAAAGAGTGCTGAAGTTAATGGTATGCACTCCCCCTGGCCCTGCCCTGGGATCCAGGCCTGCAGAGCAAGGCAGGCTTCGTGAGCCATGAGGGAATGCTCTGGGTCAGGGAAATCCAGCTGACAATGCAAGCCCAGCATGGATATGTTCAATAAGTGCATTACATCCTCTCAGATTTGCTCCACAGCCAGCACCACTGTAAGCTGCCATTCAGTGCCTGCTGGAAGGGGAGGGTCACAGCTGCCCACCCGACGTGTACAGCAAAGGAAACCTCTCACACTGAAGGTGCAGCTGTGGTGTAACCTGAGGGCACAGGGCACAGGAGGATGTCAGGGCTCTGTCAGCTCATGTATCAGTGAGGACAGGCAGAATCAGGAGCAGTTTCCTGGATGTGGCACCTGGACCCCCTGACAGAGCACTTGTACAACTCAACTGCCTTTTTCTAAGCCATCACTTCTCAGTTATGGAACCTTGACTGGTTTTCAAATGCTTCCCACTCCCTGCTTAGACACACAAGTAGTAACCAAAAACCAAAAGCAAACACACTTTGTTCATCTATCTTGTTGATACAGGATTTTCCCCAAACTAAGATGTTCCTAGAGCTGCTCTCTACAAAAACCAATGGTGGAAAACACATTCCAGTCTATCAGGATTTTAAAGCTGTCAAACCTTGAGTGAGAGACCAGCTCTCTTTCCACTTTCCATGCTGACACATCTCCCACAGCATCACTGCCAAAAGGGGATGTGACACAAAGCCAGGCGCCCAGCTGGTATCTATTCCTTATCTGCAAATTACCAGCACAGATAAAACCAACCTCCCGATCGTCCATACACAAAGCCTGAAACCATCGTGTCCCAAAACTCTATCAAAAACCAGCCAATCTTACCTTCACCAAGCAGGATGCCTACCTTGGCACCCTATTTGCCCGTCCCTTTCTTCTGCAGACTGGCACACTCATGTCTCATGTTTTCTTTCAACGCTATACTGCACGTTTTGGGAAAACCATCTGTGTGTTTCCATGTGATCTGCTCAGAGTGCTAGTCCTGACAGAGCCTCAGACAACACAAAATGCATTAGAAACCAAATTCATTCCTCCTGCCAGAATACCTAACTCTCCATCAACAGCCACTGCCCTGAAGTTCCCAAGACACCACTCAGTTCTGCCCAAGAAACACTGAAATAAATAATTAGCAATTCCCCCCAGACAGGCACTGAAAACCTCACAGCCTGCTGGAGTCAGGAATTCAGAGGGAATGGCAATGAGCAGTTATACATCAAACCATTTCTTCGCAAAATGAAGGGGGGGGGAGGAATATTTCTTTATGATTCCAAGGTTTTTAGTAAAATTTGGAAGCGATCACAGACATTCCTCACCCCAACCACTGTTCACCTCAGGGCACGTCTGCACTGCAGAGGCTGCAGCTCTTGCAGACACATCCAGCTCCTATTCCAGCAGCGTGCTGGATGCTGCAGGAGCATCTGGGAGCAGGCTGAGCCCACACCTGAGCTCCTGGCAAGGCTCAGTCCCCAGGGACAGCAATGCCCAGGGCCAGCTCATGGAACAACCCGAGCGTTGTGTCCCAGCTCTGCTCAGTGCTCTGTGCACATGCACGAGGAAAACGGCACAGCCTGGGCTTGGGGACACCTCTGTCTGACTGCCACAGTGAGAAGCAACTTGAACTTAGGAAACAGAAGCAAGCAGCTGTTGTATCTCACTGATAATATTTGTTAAATCATGTTCTCTCTGCCTGGATGTTTGTTTACTTCACAGGGCACTAAGGATAAATGAATTACTGACTTTGCGTACAAATTACAGCATGGCAGACAAAATCACCTGCAGATGTAACTATGTCTAGCAAGTACCTCCTATTGGAGGTACATAGTTACAATTCTCCAAGAAACTGGTTTTCCTACTAAAATACATATTTTTAGAGCTAACTTGCAAAAATATTATTACCTCTAAAGATTAGGCAAGAGGGAAATCACTTAAAATAAATAATAAAAAGACACAAACTCCAGTGAGCCTCTGTATGAACACACGCACACCCCAGTGCACGAACAGTCAGGGCCAGCAGTTGCTCCTACAGGCACAGGGAGCCTGGTCCCACATCGACCTGGATTGATCCTTCCCTCTGCATCCCATTAAATCCAGCTCTCCCCAGCACAGGGCAAGCTGCCACTGCCCTGGGGCTCCACACGTTCTGAGGGCCAGCCAGATGCTTCCTTCTGTCTGTCCTTCCCTTTCATAGATGCACTAAACACATCAACTTCTTTTGAATTTTGTGAAAACTACTCACTAGATAATCTTCAGGACCTTTCCCCCTACAACAACAACAGTTACATTAGACAAGGGATTGAAAAGCTGCTTGGAGAAGAAAAAAGAGGAAGCCTGATCATGCAATTGCATTCCTAAAAAAGGGAAAGGAGCGGGCAGGGGATAAATAAGAAAACAAGATAAACCCACGCACACATTCCCCAGCTGCACACTGCTGTGGCCAGTGGAAGTGGCACAGAGCAGGCACTCAGTTACACAAGAACTGTTATACAAGTTACACAAATTTTATTACTGCAAACTGAAAGTTTATGCTCTTACATGAATGCATCATTCCTTCCTCAGCACATCAGAGGATGAGAAGATAAGAGCTCAGATTTAAGGGGAGCTGCCACCTCTGTATTACCTGTGAAATCTCATCAGAAACAGTCTCATGACTTCCTGTAGGGAAATAGGCAGCACCACACATTCAACTCCATTCTGAGTGAAATGAGTTGGAAAATACAACATGCAGTGTCAATCCCATTACTTTAATTTCAAGGCCTGTAGAATCAGGCTTTTTGCATGTTTCAGACGTATTCAAAAATCCTTTTATTGCTAGGAAGCACACCTGTGTGCATCCAGAACTGCAGTTTTGGCATCCTTCCCCTCAGAAACACGCGGAGGTGCTCATTAACATCGTGCCATGGAAACCGTGCAGTCCCTTCCTGCCTCCTACACTGAGATCATGGGAGCCACACCTCAGCAGCAGCCTCCTCTGAATCCTCTCTGGGCGGATCACTCTGAGCACAGGAGACATGATCTCACCGTGGGATGCACGTGGCCTTCCATCGCCTTCAGAACACAAAACTTTCGCTTCTCTTCTTTATGTTTCTGCCACTGACAATTTGTTCCAGCTTTGTCTGTTCTGCGCCCTCTGTGATCCCTCTTTCACTGCAGTTCATGACCTTTTGTGTATAGGATGAACAAAGGGCACAGGCTAAAAATGTCATCACAGTTGGGCCTCTGCTCTTCTACTGACTTCACTGGTTTGCTATTAAAAACAGGCTCAAGCTCAAAGTCAGACCAAAGAAGAATTTCTGGGTCATCAGAATCTAGGAATCTCCAGAAGATGGTGCAGAAGCAATGTGGAAGAGGACATAAGCGCTTCTTTTCATCCAAATTCAAATCATGAATCTGTGGTGGTGCCTGCATACCACCTACATGGTACTTAGCAGTCATTTGCTTTGTATGAAAGAGCAAGAGGAAAAAAACCATCAGGCTGGCCCACTCTTGGCAGGGGTGGGAGGGTAGAAGGGAGACAGAAAAACACCATCAGCTGTGGCAGTGAGCTGTGTGTATTTACATTTCACAGGCTGAACTATTTAGTGGTTTATTTACACACAATGTTCTTGGAGCAGCTAAAATGCCAGTTGTGTTTTATCTCGATTTTGTGGCAATGCGCATAAGCCACAGAACCATAGCAAGAGTCTGCAAATGAGAGACCAAGCTCCTACATCTGGAACAGCACATGAGCCACTGTGAGAAAGGAGAGAGATTTTGGGAGCGCAGGCACAACGAGGGCTGAAATGCATTAGTTATGACAAGCCACCAAAATGCGACCCAGGGACGGGAAAGCAACGAGCCAGTCACAAAGCAAGGGCTCATGCTGCAGGGATGGCACAGCCCAGGGTAACCCTCACAGCCAGGCCAACCCACGGCACAGCACCGCAGCCTCGGGTCCCTCCCTGCCCCTCCATGTTAGAGTGAGCAGGGAATTGCAGTCAGCTCCATTTTATGCACATTTGATGGCAAGACGCCAACACAACTGTTGACTGAGCCAAATCTGGGCCCCCTTGAACTAAGCCATCACCTAAAGCAGGGTGGAAAAGCACATGCCTCTCGCCTTCCCAGCAGCCAAGTTCCTGAAAAGCATCCCAGTCACAAGAAAGATTTTTCTTTCTTCGTCTGACAACAACTGATGCTTTAACTCATTTATGTACACTCATTAATTCGAAATGAAACAGCTAGCACGGAGCTGCATTGTACAGCAGTGGGATGGAGAGATGGAGAGGCTCCCTTCCAGCCAGCCAAATGATTTACTGGCTGGCCCAAATGGCAGCTGAGGCCAGTGCCCGACTGGAGGGCAGCTATCGTCACACTCTGCAGCCTGCTCCCATCCTCAGCCAAGGTGCCAGTGGCTGCCTTCCAACTGGAACTGTATTCTGACAAAGGGAGTGCAGGACAAGCTTGGGAAAGCTCTCTGATCCCTTCGGTTCAGCTCTTCCCTCCAATCCAGCGTTTGGTGGGAGCTGCCAGCACGTTTGGGAATTGCATGGAGAGCATCACCACTCTGGGAATTCACCTTCCTCAGCAGGTACTGCTCCTGAGCCGTGCCTCTGCCTCACAGCACAGAAATCCCTCTGCTCACTCCTGCTTTAATTATACTTCAAAAACTCAGCTTCTACTCTGTGTTCCATTATATTAATAGCAATAATTAAAAATACTTCAAACAACAAGTCCTCTAAACCTGCAGCTCCATCCAGGCTGTCTGGCAGCGCACACTTCCTTTCCTGACTGACATCCTCAGGGAACCAGATTGATGGTTACTGTGCTCCATCCCTGCTGCAGGGCTGTGCTGCGCTCTCTCAGCTCATGTAAGCTGCAAGGTAATATTTGTGTTGGCAACTTCCTTACATACTTTACAGAACCAGACCTCCATTTGACCCTCAGTGCAGCTCCCACACACAACTTGGTCCATTCCTTTGAACTGTCTCCTCTTGCTGCAACACATGCTCCATACCATACCTCTGCTTCCAGCCTGTTTAAAAATTACACAGCTTGAACAGAGCTTTTGTGCTTCAACAGTGCACCTTAGCTATAAAAGCCAAGCCTGCAGAACATTCTTATGCAAGAACACCAAACAAAATTATTATAAAATCTGCATGTACAGGTCTTGGTTATCCTTCTCCCAGGATTGCTCCAAAATGGAAGCAATCATTTTTATTAAAAAATGAGAACCGTGTAAAGTTCTGTATAAAAAGACATCAACATCCAGGTTTTTGTGGTCAGAATCCAATAGCTGCACTGTGCTTTAGGGGACTAGCGGGGCTGTTGGGGGTTTTTGTTCAATATCAGCTCCACTGCAGCTCTTTAGGCAGTAACACCACCTCAGCACAGACTTTCACACCAGAGATCTTCCCTCCTTACCCAAAGCACACCAAGCAGAATAAAAGATAAGCCAACAAAGTAACGTGTCCAGATAACCCAATGAATTCCCATTATCCATCTGCGCCGCAGCAGATCACCAACAGCTCCATTTAACGCCGACAGAGCCAGAGCAGAATGAAAGTGATGCAAGAAGAGGGGAGATGCGAGATGCGAGCGAGGCAGCTGCAGTGCGAGCAGGGCACTGTGCAGAGCATCATGTGACGGGAGCAGCACGGCGGGAGAGCTGCAGCCCCCGGCCCCCACTCCCCAGCCTGTGCCCCCCCTGCAGGGCACGGACACCCCCACCTCATCCAGGGCACGGCCGGCTCGGGGCAGAACCTTCTCGACGTTTGGAATCGCTACGCTCCATTTTTATTACTCCCCTCCACAAAATAAAACAGGCGCACAGGAATGATTAACAATGAGCTTCATGTTGCTCCCGCTGGAATGCACTTTCAGCATCTTTATCACTTGTAGATCGACTTTCTCAAAAGAGCACAGAACGCGGTATCGTTCTTACACGTAGAGCAAAGCCCAACTAGACATGGTTGTGATAAAATATTCCCTTGTTTGTAAGGGACTTGCCTTGTAATGGACTGCCAGCTGAATTCTGATAGTTTATTGCAGCTACATTGCAAGACAGAACAACGATCACATTCTCCTCTGTAGAACAACAAAATATTCCCTCTCTCCATATAGTTTCTGTGAATGGTTTTTCTATTTCCTGCAGTAAAGGACCTGGCCATCACATTCATGACTGTCTGGATTGCTCTGGCAGCCTAGGATGACTGGAGAATAAAGCTCTCTGCTCATGGTGAAGTGACTCACTCTTTCATTTAACATAATCGTGGTCCAATTTATTCAAACATCTTGAATGAGACTGCATTAATCTAATTTGAAAATGAAGCCTCTTTTCTACACACATGGTCCCCAGCAGGGCACCAGGGCCCCAGAGTGCTTCCTCCACCCTGCAGGGACAGCACAGCCACCACACCGCGGGGTCAGGCGGGGTGAGAGACCCCAGGCAGGAGCTGCACCTGCAGATCCCACAGCAAGACCCACACCAGGATGAATTTCTACAATTTGCAAAGACTGCTACCACCACAGCAGTCCCGCTGCCCGCAGGAGCAGAGGGAAGCACACACACTCTGGGAGACTCACTCACATTTCAGTCTTCATATGGGCCCACAGCGCTGCTCTGCATCAGCTGGACAAGATGCCATGAATTATAGGTTGCATTTGGATAGATTGTGCAAAATCCAGATTTTTTTTTTTATATTAAAGGGTCCATTTTACAGGTTGGAGGACCAGAAATGCTTGGCCCAGATAAAGCGTAGAAGCTTGGAGTCTGGCTATTAAATGAGAGACGTGCAACTCAGACATTGATGAAAACAGGTCCTGTTCTGTGGTGGGAGGTTAGATCTAGAGCTGAAAACCTGCAGTCTTGATCTTGAATGTTTTAACAGGTTATGCACATTTTTATAAAACAAGAAATTTGAGGGGATGACACAACACAACAACCATCCAGCTTCTGTCCCCAAGGGCATCTCATGTCACCTATTGTCCAAGACACCTCTCTGTACAAAAACAAATAAAAATTGGTGACAAGGGAAGCTGGTGCTGCGATGGAAGTTTAAAATCAGAACGAACCCACGACGATTCCATCAAACCTTGGATAGTCTGGCAGCTTGGATACCCAGCCCCGCACAGACTGCTCCCGTAAAATCCTGCAACGTTCCATCCCAACGGGCTCGCCCGGCGATGCCGAACGCCGCTACCTGTCAGNCATGTCCCAGCATAGGCACAAATGGGTGGGGGCACAGCAAGAGGGCTGTGGGGCTGGCACTGAGCCTTCTGCTCCCCGGGGATGACCTGGGGGCTACTGGCGTGGCTGGGCACCATGTGCCAGGCAGAGCCCTCTGCCAAGCCCCTGGTCCTGGAGCCCGGCAGTGCCCAGACAGCTGAGCTGCGGGTGATCCAGGCAGAGGCAGCTTCTGGGGTGGAACAAGCACTGAAGTTTTGGTGCACCCTCAGTGGTGCCAACAGACTGCAACCATGGCCAGAATGGCACCTGCCCACTGCACATCCTGCCCACCCAAAGACTGGCCAGCCCCGGCTCAGCTCAGCACTGGGCTGGCACCGTGGGGAGAGCAGGACGCCAGCAAGGAGGCAAAACCACCACAAACAAACCAGCCCGGCCAGTAACTGAGACGGGGCGGGGGGATCAGGGCTCGCTGCCCGGCTGCACCGAGCACAGGAGGAGATTTTGGGCACCAGAGCCACCTGCCCAGATGGCCTCAGCTGCCCTTCCCCAGGCGCCACATCGCTGTCACGGGGGCTTCGAGCACCACAGCCCCCCAGCATCCCTGTCTCAAGCTTCATTTGCTGCTTGCTGCTGAACTGAGAGATTTTAATCTTTTAATCACGTTATGAGCCGAGGTGGTGCCGGCCACGCACAGGAGGAATGTCTGGAAGTCAGCAGCTCCTGTCGCAGCGGGAGCCCATCCTGCCCCCACCCACACATCCCCACTTGGGGACCCCTGTCCTCCCCAGCCCGGCGTGTCCTGCGGCTGAGCTGGGACCAGGACCAGCCTGGGGCCCGTGCCAGAGCAAGGATCGGCTCACAAAGAGCTGCTGGGACTGGAGCTCCCCACCGCAGCCCGAACACAACGAGAGCTCTGACCGTGCGGGTTCCACTCCTCCCCTCCCGTGTTTTCTGAGCGAGGGGAGCACAGGGGCGTCCGCAGCCCAGCCCAGCACAGCGCGGAGCCGCGGCAGCCCCTGCGGAAGAACAACAAAGCCCTGGAATTAGAGATGTGCTGGGAGTTTACTTTACCACAAAAAAATGTCAGAAATCCGTATTGTTTGTACAGGGATTTGCTGGGGATCGCTAGATAAAAGCCTGGCAGGGACCAGTCGGGGGGAAAAGTCGGCCGGCTCCTTTTTGGTGGCGAGAACCCACGGCCGAGAGAGGGGACAGTGCCTGGCCAGCGTGGGGGGCTCGGGGCAGGGCAGGGACAAGGACAGGGAGGGATGGGGACGGTGAGCACCCACCCTGCCCAGCTCCAGGACAAACGACAACACACGCAGCCCGCTCTCACATCTGTTATGTTTTAGTACTGCTCATGTCTAAAATGACCAAAACCAAGCCAAGCGCCCACAGCCCCTCGCTCTGCCTCACACTGAGTGAGAGGCCCGAGGGTGCCCTGGCCAGTGCTGGGTGTGGGCAGGGGTGTGGGCAGGTGAGAGGGCAGGTGAGAGGGCAGGTGAGAGAGCAGGTGAGAGGGCAGGTGAGAGCAGGGGTGAGGGCAGGTG